CCAAACGCGGCCGATCAGGCGCTGGCCCGTCAGACAAGAACAAGAAAGGAATTGGTCGTGATGCTCGAAATAAGAAGTTTGGATTCGGAGGCGGGGGGAAACACTCCAAATCCAACACGCGGGCATCGACTGATTCGTTCGTAAGCGGTGGCGGAAAAGGGGGCAAGCCTGCATTTGGGAAAGGAGGCAAGGCAGGATTTGGCAAGGGCGGCAAAAGCGGCGGTGGGCCAAAGCGTTTGGGGAAAAGCCGCAGGAATGCCTCCAAGGGCAAGTAAGTATGGGGAGTAAGTAGGGCTACATGACGTATTACGATACAATCTACGGGAATGCGCTTTGCTGCGGTTGCCTAGTCTTTCGTTTGCTCTCGCCCTCCTCTTCGTTCAACATCAACACACAGGTCGCCGCCAAGACGAAAACGACCATGCTTGCGTATACTGGAGCTGCACGGCTAACTAGCAGCAGGAAACCACCCAGCATTGGAGCTGTTATGCCACCACTGCCATGCAAATCAGCAACGCGATATGTTGTGCCAAATCGTGACATACATTCTAGAGAGCGCAGATGCGATGCCACAAGCAGTTCCTCGGACTGTATATGTCTGATGAACTCCAGGTGAACCGGTAGGAACTGACCCTCACCTTTGACCGAAAATATCTCTGGGGTCCAGCTATGAAAGTCAGATTCAATCTCAGTCAAACAAGATGCCGACGCACCCGTATAGAACGGCCCACATCGTCTACGAAATGAGGTGAAGCAGAAGAAGTTACCGCGATTGTTTGACTCACTGTGCTTGCCAGTCCGACACCGATAGTGCTGAGTTGTGTGAGGATTCCAATCTCGAGTTTCTGACCAAACACGAAAAGAATGCAGAATCCGGCTGTCACGAGCGTGCTTCCTGCCAGAGACCACCGGCGACCTAGAGATGTCAAGATCAGTCGCGCGCCAAGCTGGGAAAGATAAGTTGGATCGTCGATTTGGCAAATGTGGATCACTTGCGAAAGCCCCTGGACATCCCCCAATGGTATAAATTAGCACATCAGTCAGGGTTCCTCTAATGGTCTGCGCTTTGGATGTTTCCAGAAGCTTTGGAAGGAAAACGTTGAACATCGTGTACGCTACAGGTGTGACATTAGAGTAATTGGACCGATAAATCATCCTTTACACACCTAAAGACATTCCACACCACGCTCCCCAAACTAAGAGAGACGTGCGTCGCCACTGAGGGGTCAAAACGAGCTTGACTCTTGAAATCCATCTTTGGATCCAATTGCCCTCAGCATCTTTCCCGCTTTCTGCGAAATCTATGTCATCTGGAATTGGTTCGTATCCTCCATTGCGTATAGTTGGAGCCGAATCAGAAGACTGGACTGAGAGATCCTCAACGTTTTCCAACTTGAGATCGCCTGCGAGGTTTGAAGACCCGTTGTAGAGGGCGATCATTTGTAGTGCTTCGAGTGCTTCCGAGGGCCGCCCTGCGTGCACAAGATAACGTGGACTCTCGTGCAATCGGAAAAGAAGTATGCGGCCGATGAACATGACCAAGGTCTAGATGCAGATGGTGAGCAAGCGCAGTATACTCCACATACGAGAACAAACCAAGACACCCATCGCAGCGAGCAGATATTTCCACCCGTTATTGAGCGTGGGATCGCAGACGGATGCGGCGACAGAACAGGAATTCTGCGGAACGACAAGAAGGGCAATCGCAGCGGCAACGACTGAGCCGGCCGAGAAGAAGATAGATAATGATGTGACGAGATGCATTTTCTGCTGTGGCATATGTTCGAGGATGATGGTGCCATCGGTCGGCATTGAACCCTGCCAGATAGTCAGGACGGGAAAGGGAACGTCTACGCGTCAGTTCACGTAATCGGAGCGTTTCCAGGACTCGAGGCACTTACTCCAATGGCACTGCCCAGGAAGAACAAGACTACAGCGAGCCCCGTGTAGCTCGTCGTGAACGCTGCACCGATGCCAAACACAGCGGTGAAGAAGAGTGTCCCGTTGAAAGCAACGCTCCGGCCCCATAGATCACTACAGCTACCCCATCCGACCGCGCCGAGCATCATCCCAGCAAACATCACGGAGGAAGTGAGCCCTATGTATGCGTCTGGGACAGAGTAATGCGCCTGCACACGGGGCAGAACGATGGCTATCGCCTGCAGCCACATCTTCCGAGCGCTATGAGCGGAATCGAGACGGAATGCAGGTAGCAAGAAAACCGTACGTTATCTGCCAGCCAACCTGTAGACAGGGTTCATCGTCAAGTTCGCGCAGTTACCGCACTATGGAACAGGAGGCGCACCGAACCCGCAGAGGAATAACAATGCCCATTGGTAACGCCCCATTCCGATTCGGTCGATGGTTTTATCGAGTTGAGAGCGAGGGTCATCTAGGTTCCCACTGCCCAGATCATCGTGTTCTAAGGCAGACATGAAGGCAGTGAGCTGGCGCCGTCAGAGCGTTGTAGAAGTCGTAAGCGGAACGTTGGTCAGGACTCAGTGCTGACATCAACTAAAAGGGTACATTGCATTACGTCACAATCTAATCTAATCAGATGCTGTGTGTCAATGACTATCGAAGAACTGGACGAGCACACGGGCGAAGATGTGCATTCCCTTCACGATGTCTTCCTGGGGACCACTACTGAAACTGGCGCGCAAGAACATGCTCTCTTCTCCGGAGCCGCTGTGTCCTTCTAGATCGGCGACGGCAAACAACTCGCCAGCACGCATAGTTACACCCCCACGAAGAATGGCGCTCGACAGCTCAGCAGATAAAATCTCCTTGGCCTTCGAAGGCGACGTGTTTCGCGACAATGCATCGTACCGAGGATGATTGTGCAAGTGGATGTTGAGCCACACGAACATCCCACCACTGCAAGAATGATTACAAGGAAGACCCATGAGTCGGACAGAGAACGTACTCGGGTGGCACGAAGCTCAGTAAAGTTGTCTTTCGGGATTTCTCAGACATGACTCCTTGGCTCGGGGCTGATGCGATGAAATAAGAGCCCTGGGTGTGGATATCTAAAGAATCGTAGAGCGCATCGATTGTCCACTTCCCTGTGATTCTGCATGAGCACGCGTGCGCGTCGCTTAACACAGGAACTTACGTCTCAACTCATACTGAGCAGTCAGTCCACGGATCCAACGAGTAAACCCTTGTTGACCATATTGATGGACGGTCCCCAAGTAGATCTACGCACACATCAGAGCAACGACAAGGCTGAGGAAGTGCACAAACCGCTTGCGATAGACCGGATGGGAAAGATATGAATGTCTGATGCAGACTGGTCAGCTTGTCGAGGAAAATCGGTGATCCGGTGTAGAATCCAAGTCGGCCACCGGGTCCAATAGACTGATCAACCAATCAGAAAGGATGTTATGTAAGCTTCAGGGATTCTCACCTTGGAGAATGTATCAAGCCGAATCACTCGCCCTTGGTAATCATAGCGAAGGAAACTCGGAGTGAGATTGTCCAGCCACTCCTCATCGGAGAGAGTCGGCTTTTCAATGGGCTTCCCTCGACTGTAGGGGGCCGCAGCTTGTTGGAAATAGTATGGGTCGTCCTCGACAAGAATCAGATCGTAGCGGACCATTACGTCGTAGATCTGAGCTTAAGATCAGCGAAGTGAGGCGAGGTCAGCATGAGCTTGTCACTGACATCTTTCTTGCGTTGGGCCGAGATGAGCTGGGGCTGTCAGTTAACATCCCGAGCAGCTGCAGGCAAGCGCACCAAGCCCAAAGGATTATGGATTCCGCCCTGTGTGTAGATGACACGCGGTCTACCACGGGAGTTAGATACAGTCGGTTCTGCGGAAGAAGAGGTTGCCAACCGCTTTCCACGTTTCTCGTCCCAGTTGGCGAGAACGTGCTCCAAGTCAACAGCGGACAGACCGTCTATATCGGTGGACACGGCCACAGCCTCGAAACCTCGGGAACGACCCAAAATGAGTGCGCCATCTAGCGAGCGTCAGATGGCCTCTTGCATTATGCATCGGTCTCACTGTACGCAAAACGGTCTTGAGTAGATTCGTCAGTGAACCCCACCAATACTCCGTGGAGAAACATCACCCGTAAGGAAGAATTCGCCTGGGTTGAGCAGGATTGTCAGACAAGAGCTCCAAGCGGCCGACGATCCGACGTTGATCAGGGTTGTCCAGTCCTCGCTGAAGAGATATCGGCCTCATCTGTTCCACGACGTGGGAGATAACTCACCTAGCGGGCTTATGCACAATTTGAGCCCAGTCTTCAATGAGCTTTGTTCCGACTGGAAAGATGACATGGTCAGTCGGTGAGTGACGAACGAGGAAACGTCACACCTGCGATGCCCTTCATAGAACTATACTCCAGCGCAGTGGATAGTTCATAGACGCCCTCATCGCCCGGGCTGAGTCGGCGTGGGATGACGAATTGACCGACGGGGGCTTCGGTCGTCTTGCTGGCTTTCCCGGAGAAGATGTTCGACAGCCATCCGAACATACCAGAGGCATGCGGCAGGGCATCGGTTGGCGCGAGAGGAAATGCAGCGGGCTTGAGATACTCGACTGTTATCGACTCGATGGGGAGATATTCTACGCTGTTCAAACACGAAATCAGGTTCAGCTGCTGACACGTCAAGGAGCACTTTACTCGGGAACACCTCCGTCCAAGTTTATGTTACCTGGCTGCGCCGGACGACCAAGCTCGACACGCGACCCCAGGCCGCGCGCGAGATCAGATAGGTGACTGTGGATAACATTCAAGCCTGACCATGCATGCCGTCGGATGATGCTTACTGGGAGAGGTCGATGGCACAACGATGCTTCTCAGACATGGTAGAAGACGAGAGGAGAGCGTTCGGTTCCCGTCACGCCTTAGCAGCCTGCGATTAGCTCACAGACCAGAAGCGTCGATAAGAGATTCCGGAGGCCGCGGCGAACGCCATAATGCACGTGATCGTATCTACTGGCCGCATTCACAATTGGATTGATCCGATAGATCTGCAGCGCCGACTCAGTCACAGAGGCATCACCTTCATCTACAGTGCATCCACTGACCGATGGGTCATCTTATTACGCTGGCAACGTAAACTTACACGATCCAGTCTCGCCGCTTCTCATTTGTCTCCTAGATGGTAAATCCATACCTCCACTGCTTTCCACGGGCTCTTGAGCTGCTTATAGTTCGCTCAATCAATGGGCCCTCGATTTCCAAGTTTGTGGATATGAACTTGTGTGTTTCTAGACTCATATACGTGCAGGGTAATATGGAGCGTATTCTCGAGAGTATCGCAATTGCGAAGGGGCGAGGGGCGACACTCCGAGTCGGACCAGAGCTAGAGATCCCGTGCGTTCATCATGGTTTCTTACACGGACCACCTCTCACTAGGACGCAGCGGATACGGCTGCTTGGATCACTTCCTAGAAGGTGATCGCAACTGCTTCAATATATCTACGGGCTCACGGTCGAGTCAGGCGACACGGTCCTGCATTCATGGGAAGTGCTTGCCAAAATTCTGGCTTCTGAAGAAGCCCAAGGTATCGTATGTGATCTAGGGATGTGAGTGCATATGTTTTCAACCTTATTTCACGTCCGACGCGCTTTCAGGCCGGTGGTGCACAAGAACGTCATATACAACTGCCGCATCATCATACACAACCGCCAGATCCTTCTCATCCGACCGAAGATGTGGATGGCAAACGATGGAAACTATCGCGAGCTTCGGTATTTTACGCCGTGGACCAAGCATCGTCAATGGGAGGACCACTATCTGCCTCGGATCATCCAGGTCCTAACGGGACAGGCGAGCATGAAATTCAGATCCTCGGGTTTGTGCCTGATCATGCTCTCAGACAAAGGTTCCGTTTGGAGACGCCGTGATCAGCACGCAGGATACCTGCATCGGAATCGAACTGTGCGAGGAGTTGTTTACACCAGCAAGGTATGCTTGAAAGTCCAGCTTGTCATGTCTCATATCATGCTCCCAGTCCACACATCCTCATGGGACTGGACGGCGTTGAGATCTTCACCAACTCGAGCGGAAGCCACCACGAACTGCGCAAGCTTTACACCCGGGTTGAACTCATAAAGGAGGCGACACTGAAGGTAAGCAGCCCGCTCTGTGATCAGATCAGTGGTCACACCTTCCCTGGCAGCTTGGTGGGGTATATCTGTATGCGAACCAACAAGGATGCGACGGAGATCGCCTCTATTATGATGGCTGTGCTATGATCGCTGTGAACGGTCGCATCATTGCGCAAGGCTCGCAATTCTCTCTGAACGATGTCGAAGTCATCAGCGCGACGATTGATATCGAAGACGTCCGGGCGCACCGTGCAAAAAGTAGCCGCAGCATGCAAGCAGCAAGCGCTGAACGCTACCATCGGGTCGAAGTCGACTTTGCGCTGACGTCTGGGAAATTCGACATCGTCGCTGAGGAGGATATGGCCGGACTTCTCACTTATTCCCGCCCCTACGAAGTGAAATACCATATCCCTGAGGAGGAAATCGCGTAGGGCCTAGCTGTTCGGGTCGTTTCTTTTTGCTGACATCGTTGAAGGCTTGGTCCAGCGTGTTGGCTATGGGACTATCTGCGTCGTTCTCGCACCCAGGGTTACTTTGTTCCCTTGAGTGGAGGGATCGACAGTTGTGCTACTGCGGTTATCGTATACTCCATGTCTCGACTAGTTGCAGATGCAGCGCGCAGTGGAAGTCGGTGGCAGTCAGTCACGCCCCTAGCTCAGCACTGAATTTCTTGCAGATCAGCAAGTAATCTCCGACGCTCGTCGTATCTCTGGAGAGCTAGAAGACTCCAAATACCTTCCCACTGATCCACGCGAATTCACCAATCGGGTCTTTCACACATGCTACATGGGTACCGAAAACTCGAGTGCTGAAACGCGCCTCCGCGCGAAGCAGCTCGCGGAGGCCATCGGCAGTTATCACGTTGACATGAACATGGACTCGATCGTAACCGCTGTGCGGAACTTGTTTGCTCTAGTAACCAATGCACGACCTCGTTTCCGCGCTCATGGAGGAACTGCTGCTGAGAATCTGGCGTTGCAGAACATCCAGGTTTGATTCAATTAGCAGAGTTGATGATTGCTGAGCACATCCGAGCACAGGCTAGACTGCGCATGGTCATGGCATATATGTTTGCCCAGCTCTTGCCCTGGGTGCGTGGGAAGGTCGGCGGCCTGCTCGTCCTGGGAAGTGCGAATGTTGATGAAAGGTGCGGAATTCATCTTCTGCTACACTGGGCTCACCCACCGACCCCACAGCCTTCGCGGATATCTGACCAAATACGATTGCTCCTCGGGTATGCAGGAGTCAGACCTGGCTACTTTTCGCTGAGCTTGTCCCCCAGCCGACATCAACCCCATTGGTGGAATCAGTAAGACGGATCTCAAGAAATTCATCGCCTATGCCGAAACGAACTTTGATCTCCCCATTTTGTCCAACTTCCTCAACGCGACTCCGACCGCAGAACTGGAGCCCATCACAGAGAACTATGTCCAAGCTGACGAGGCCGACATGGGCATGACTTACGACGAACTTTCGGTCTTCGGACGCCTGCGGAAAGTGGAGAAATGCGGTCCGTACAGCATGTTTACGAAGCTGATCCATGAATGGGGATCGTTCCTGTCACCGCAACAAGTTGGTCGTGTCGAGTTCTGATCACCAGGCTTCTCATCCAGTCACCATCAGATCGCGGACAAAGTCAAGCTGTTCTTTTTTGAGCACGCTAGGAACAGGCACAAGATGACGACCCTCACTCCGTCCTACCACGCTGTGCGTCTAATCACGTGTCCTGAATGGCTGACTAACCATTCACGGCTTGCAGGAATCATACAGCCCGGATGATAATAGTGAATTGATTATTTCCTGTGAGGAATTGCGTTGACATAGTGCCCAGGATTCGATCTGCGGCCTTTCCTCTATCCTTCGCGCTTCCCCTGGCAGTTCCGCAAGATCGACGAGATCACCGCTGTCCTGCCTGACCGCTCTGTTGGCACTGCGGGGCATGCTAGTTCGAAACCGAAACAGGACTGATCTGGTCCCAATAACAATTATGTCTCAAGTAAGTATGTAGAATGTATGCGAGTGTAGATTGAAAGCACGTGATCACGAATACTCATGATCTACTTTCCTCATTGATCACCGTTTTCAGCAAGTACAATTGGGTCCTCGACGCGGCACAATGCGCCTAGCGGGAGAATGGAATGCTCTACAATGGGTCCAGGTCATGCCTTTTTTAGACTCGGACAAAGCTCCTTGTTACGCAAAGGATGTGTAAACAAAGAACAATAGCCTATTGTTCTTGAATGGCAGGTCCTCATGTATAAGAGCGGCGACTGGATGGGTGTTCCGGTCAAACAAGCTACCTCCTCGAACAGTTCTCTCACCTCCATATCTCATTGACGACCTTTGACGAGCAACTTACGCCGCCGAGTCTACGCCACATAGCATCATAAAGGTTCGCCTACCCCTTGTTCGAATCAGGCAACATCCCAGATGCTCAAGCTTTCTATTGTTTCAGCTCGAGTCCCGTCCTACATAAACCGGTCCCCAACCTCTAAACACTCAAGAACTGGTTCTCTCTCCCTCACGACACGACCTCTTTGCTCGCAGCAGCGCCCACTTTTCGACAAAGTCATATCTGCACATCCCTGATTGTATCAACCAACAACCCTCGTTAACATCATGAAGTTCTGTATCGCTACTGCCTCCATCGCTCTGTATATCGGTGTGTGGATCCATCAACATCGCTTGTGCGACATTCCCGACTGACCTTGGCATCAATGTTTAGCTCTCACCACTGCACACGAGCTCCCCTCCCGTTACTCGCTGCAACGCCGCGGCAACCAATTCGTCACTGGGCCATGCAACATTGATTCAGACTGCCAGCAAGGATGCTGTGCCTTCAACACGGGCAAGTGCGCTGGCCCCGGCATCGCACAGACCCGAGACGGAGGATGCGGCCACGGGAACAAAGTGCCGAACTGTGAGTGAGACTCTGCCTGACGGGAGGAATGACACTGACCGACTCCAGGCAACGTCGCAGCGGCTTTGAAGCTTGGGGATTGTGTCGCCGGAGCCGTCAACGACGATCTCTCTAACCCGGACATCCAGTCGGCGGCTGCTTTCGTCGCCAAGCTCGACGGCTTCAAGTTCACGCCCATCACTAAGGGCTCCGGCAATGCTGCTACCGCGACTGCCACCAAACCTTCCAAGACCTCGACCTCGAAGTCAACCGCGACCGGCGGTGCCAGCGCCGACAAGACGATATCTGCTCTTGCAGCTGGCCAGTCATCCCTTGGTTTCGTCACGGCCACATGTGCCGCGGACTCAGATGTGTGTATTCCCGCGCTGTTTTTGACCGTGAGCAAGAACTAAAACCCCCCACCAGTGCCAGCAGGGCTGCTGCTCGTTCAAGGCCGGGACATGTGTCGGACCTGCAATCGCACAAGAGCGAGCGCAGGACGGTGGATGTGGATTCGGAGCTCCCAAGCCTAATTGTGCGTTCATGATGAATGCTTCATTCGATATACCCACTGAGTCCCCATCTTCAGGCGACGTCGCGAAAGCCCTCAATCTCTCCGAGTGTGTCGCAGGCGCTGTGAACGGAGACCTCACCTCCCATTCCATTCAAGCTGCTGCTGCCTTTGTCTCCATTCTTGACAAATTGCCCTTCAGTCCGGCGGCATGATCTGCTTGTGTGCATTCGATTGTATGTATGTATGTATACGATATTTTGCCCACATAATTGTATAATAGTAGTAGCCTCGCTGTGCGGGCTAATGCCATGGTAGTTCCAAGAATGTATGTCGTGTGTAGATTACAATGCGTAGCAATACAAGTGTTAATAATTACATCTGTCCAATCACCCTTCTAACGATTCAGGAACCTCGAGAACGAATTCTGGATCGCAATCTTCTTCATGATGGTTGGTTCCGGCGCTGGAACATAGATGAGCAAACAAGCAAGGGGACATAGAGACTACACGTACGATCTGTTATGCCCTCGTCTTTGACCTTCTTCTTGATGCTGTCCATGATATCGTTTGCCCCTGACCGATCGAGGTCGCCCCGAGCCTTCATCAGACATTCGACGAATGTTAGATTGGGGCCATGGACGCGAGCGAACGGCCAATACGATAGGAAAACAAGGTCTTTGGAGGCTTCTAGTAGACCGAGGACCTTCTCGACAACGTCAAAGTATGACTCGAGCTCCCGGGTAGGTTTGAAGCTAGTGAAGAATGTGAACGTAATGCTGACATCCTCTCTGATCCTCTCAGTGGCGGCGGGCATCTTCATCTTGGGAGAGTTGGCCAGGGCGGTCAGATACATGACTAGGAAGGCGTCCAGGAGATCTTCAACGAGCAATTCAAGTAGGGACGAGTTCAGGAACTGCTGGTAGTCGGCCATGTAATCGCGCATCGTTTCTACTATCGCTCGCATAGACCCTTCGTACCAAGCCGCCTGGAACAAGGTCTTCGTCGCTGTCTTCAGATCATTGAAGATAGAGTCGATCAGCGTTTGGGTGCATTTCTTGGCTACGTCCAAGTACCCGTCGATAGCATCGTTCAAACGCTCGTTGATCTGTACGCGGTACTTCTCTGACACTAGTGGCTCCAAGCGAGCCAGTAGGGCTTCGGTATAGTCGGCGGACTTGATTTGGTCGTTGGCGAGAGCGATGACGTACTCCACCAGACCAGGAGCTGCTTCCTCAGGCTTCTCGGCCGCTTTCTTTGCCTCGGATTCTATAACCTTGACCCATTGCTCCTGCATGCCTCGCATCACCCGATTCGTCTCGCTGACGACCCGCGCCAAGATGGCACCCTGGCCACTCTCCGTTGCAAGATCGACCTGCTGGTTGACCATCTGGAACAGGATCGCTGCACCACCTTGCGACCCGTAAAGGCCGTCTGCGTCAATCTCCGGCTGTTCTCGGCGTGCGATGAACTCCTCCACCTCCGTCTTCATCAAATTGGCAGACCATTCGTCGAGCTTCTGGATGATCACCATCAGGTAATCCTCGATGAGCGACTGCTCCTTGCCGTCCAACAAAGGCGGCTCGAGAAGCTCCGGAGGAACACCGAGTTCTTTCATGTCTTTCTTGTACTCTTTCAGCCATTCGAAGAGCGTCAGCAGCACGCTCGCGCCTGGCTCGGATGCCACCAGCTGCTTGATAGTGGTGTTCAAGGCCTTGTGGTATTCCCGCACATAAAGAGAATAGATCTCATACTCGGGCGGAAAACAGGGCACGACATCCGACTCCATTCGGATGATGTCCTGATACATCCATCCAAGGGAGTTGAGGAATTGCGTCGGATCTTGCTCGTCTTGCTTGTACGCCTCTTCGAATTTGAGCTTGATTGACTCCGTAATCGATTTCATGAACTTGGATCGGTAATGCTTGATCACTCGCGCGTTGGCCTGGAGTGATTTGAACTTGGACGCTGCGTCGAGCTTCGCAGCCTTCTTGACCAGTCGGATGGCTATGGCCTGAATTGGGCACATCGGCAAACAATTTTATCCAAAGGATAGATTGACGCACCTTTTCGTCTTCACGGCCCTCAACCTCCGCAATCTTGATCAGCTTCACAATAACATCGGGATGTCCTGCTCGGACCAGCTCGAGCGTGTTTCCGGCCAATGCAATGACATAGGTGTCGAATGCCTCAATCACGTTGTTCAGTCGCTCAAAGTACCTGGCTAACGTGTTCCGTGACTTTGCAGAAGCTTTCTTGGCCTGGTGCATGGTTTGATTCCGGAACGCCTCAAGCTGGTTGAGGAGATAGTGAATGACGAGGAGATTGGGAGCAGGTCCTAGAATATCTTGGCTGTCATTCTCCAACATGTCTTCAAGATCGTCGAGTTTGGCGTTCATCGCCAACAGGTTGTTCACCGTCTCCTCCGTTTGCTCGAAATTGCGATGCACCATAGATACCTAGAAGCATGCATGAGAAACAGAAACATCAGTTAGTCCAAAGATAAGGACGCACACGACTAATTTGGTCGAAAGTGGCGACTACATTGGCCGGATCGGCACACTGGCTGTCGATAGCAGCCATCTCATCCTTCACCGCTTGCACATTATTCCTCGTGCCCAACAATTTGCGTAAACCCTCCCGCGTGGCTTGAAGTTGCTCTTTCATACCGCTTTTCAGTCGCGCATCAATCGACGCTTTCTCCTTCTCGAGCTTCTTACGAAAAGCAGAGATCTTGACGAGGTCGTCGGGGGATTGCAAGTACTCCCCAATGGCCTGCGCTGCTGATACCGGAGCCGCAGCCATTGCTGTTCGAGTGGAAGTGCAGGGGAAAGGCCTCTGCCTGCTGTCCTGTCCGAGAAGAGAAGAATGAGGGCGCAGCTATGCCGCTTGAAGCAGTGCCGTTGCGAAAGTTGTCGTTCCGTTTCGGGACGGAAGTCGGTTCACGTGACTCTCGAATGCTTCGTCTCTCCACCACTCCCAAAGCTTGCTCACGCGCTGCCGGCCAGTTTGTGCAACTGGCCAAGCGCTCCGCGCATATCTCTTCTACCGCTTCTGCTCCCGAAGAATGGGATGTTGTCATCGTTGGCGGAGGACCCGTTGGTCTTGCTCTGGCCAGTGCCCTCGGTACGCGGCCGAGGACTATGCTTTCCCGCAACCGACTCTTTTCCAGGATCATCACAAATTGTCCGTGAATCGCTGCGTGTTGCTTTGGTTGAGGCAGGGGACCTATCAAAAGTCCGGGATTGGGCTCTCGAGGACGGGACGTTCTCCAATCGTGCAAGCTCCCTCACATACAGGTCTCAATCATTCCTGAAAGGTGGGGGAGAGTTTCTCATATCATTCTCCATATACTCAAGCCAGGTCAGAGACTAGTGCATGGGATCACGTAGACCAAACTCGGACAGCTCCTGTTCAAGAAATGCAGGTATTTGTTGATTGTCCACTTTGATCCAAGCCTGACCACAACCAGGTCTGGGATGGAGTGTCAGATGCACGGATCCAGTTTTCTGCCTCGTCTCTTGGTCTAGGTTCTGGGATGGCGCGAATGACCGAGAATTTGAACCTACAACGCGGACTGCTAAGGCACCTTGCTGATGTCCCTCACGTTCAACTTCTGGACCAGACCAAGGTTCAAGATATCACCGTCGGAGAAGAATCCAGTGGCTGGCCTTTGGTAAAGTTGGACAATGGGCGCATTCTCCGGTCTAGGCTTCTGGTGCGTGCCTTGTCCTCCATGTGTCTTCAATCTCATCTGGCCTAGGTCGGTGCCGATGGATTCAACTCTCCGGTGCGGAGTTTCGCCAAGATTACTTCCTTCGGCTGGAGCTATGACACGCAAGCCATCGTGGCGACGATGGTCCATGCGCCGCGGGGGGCGTTCATGGGCCCGAACACCACAGCCTACCAGCGCTTCCTTCCCACTGGCCCGATCGCGTTTCTACCTTTGTCTCCGACAGCTTCTTCTTTGGTATGGTCGACCAAGCCATCCCTCGCCAAGGCGCTTCTTGCCTCGGACCCAGAAGTCCTTCGATGCATGATCAACGCTGCTTTTCGATTACCAGACGTGTCAATGAAGTACCTGAATGAAGTGATACTGGGCTCGGGTGGATCTGTGTCTCCCGAGCAGATAACCGCAGAGATTCTATTCAGAGAACGGTCTCATGGACTGGACAACACATCAGCCTACGCGTCTGCCAACACGCTCTCGACCCAGGGCATTCCACCTGCAGAGGCCGAACTCGTTCCTCCTCTTGTGGCATCACTCCAGCCAGGTAGTGCTGCGTCGTTCCCACTGCGATTCAACCACACGGACTCGTATCTGGGAGAAGGAGAAGGCTCGCGCACTGTGCTGGTTGGCGATGCAGCGCATACAGTCCACCCTCTTGCCGGACAGGGCCTCAATCTTGGGCTGGCCGATGTTGAATGTCTCGCACGCTGCATCGAGAACACCTTGTTGCAGGGCGGTGACGTCGGTGAGTGTGCCCCCACGCACGCTTCAGGCCTTGCCTTGCTCACTCATTTGAATTCTAGGCTCGAGGACAGCGCTGCTCCCATATTCTCGCGAACGTTACCTGGCCAATCACACGATGATGTCTGCCATGGACAAGCTGCATAAAATCTACTCGACGTCGTTCGAACCGGTTGTCTGGGCGCGCTCGGTTGGGCTCGAGGTTGTCAACGAGTTGGACTCGATCAAAACAGCTCTCATGTGGGAAGCGAGCGGGAAGAGGGTCGATAATACTGCTTTATGGGAAGTCGCCGCCAAAGGAGTGGAAGCCTTGGGCACTACCGTACAAGCGGTCCAGTTGGTTCGCGGAGGGCTAGCCGGATTGGCTGGAAACGTACTAGGTGGCTTACTCAAGGCGCGGAAATCGTGAGACTAGTCGAATCGTCCTCCGCACATGCGTGCGGTAATGCCGGATTGACTGATTTGTCATACGATCTGGCACTGAGGAATTCGATTAAGTGAACCCAGATAATTGAGATTAGATAAGATCGAAGGCATTCCCACTCGACCGGCCCGACTGAAGCTCAGTGGCTTCTCTCTTGTTCTTTCTTAGAACTGGACGAGCTGAGGATCTGGCCAGCTACTGGCTGCAATAAATAACGGGGGCTGCGGGTTGATCACTGCACCCTATACGGACAACGCTAATTCTTCTAGACGATATCTACCTGCAGAAACATGGAACCCAATGTAGCCCGCCACAAACGCTTGAAACACATTCTGCGCTGCGGGAGTCGAGGCGAGGGCATCCAGAACATTCCGGTGGGCTTGAATTGCGTCAGCGACAAGTTCGACGAGCACAGTCTGCTTGGTTTTGCCGCTTTGTTGAGCAAGAAATGAAACCCGGTTGACAGTCTCGCCGTCGGATTCTTCTTTGTGAAAG